GGAGACATAATTCAATCTATGACAGAAACTCAGTACCCATTAAACAATAACTTCCCATTCTCCCCTCCCTCCAGACCCTGGTAACCTCTAATCTACTTTCTGTCTCTGTGCATTTGCCTATTCTAGATATTTCATATAAGTGGAATCATATAGTATTTGTCCTTTTGTGTCTGGCTTTTTAAGGTTCATGTATGTCATAGCACACATCAGAACTTCATTCCTCTTTATGGCCGAACAACATTCCACTGCATGTATATATCACATTTTGTTAATCCCTTCATCTGCTGATGGACATTGGGGTTGTTTCACCTTTTGATTATTGTGAATAATGCTGCTATGAACATTGATGCACAAGCAGCTGAGTGTCTACCTTCAAGTCTTTTGGGTATATGCCTAGGAGTGGGATTTCTGGGTCATACGGTAATTTTATGTTTAACTTCTTTAGGAACTGCCAAATTGTTTTCTGCAGCAGCTGTACCATTTTACATTCCCACCAGCAATGCATGAGGGTTCCAATTTCTCCACATCTTCACCAATACTTGTTAGTTTCTGTCTTTCGGATAATAGCCATCCTAGTGAGTATGGGGTGGTATCTTGTTGTGGTTTTGATTTGCATTTTGCTAGTGACTAATGAAGTTGAGCATCTCTTCATGTGCTTATTGGCCATCTGTACATCTCCTTTGGAGCAATGTCTATTTAAGTCCTTTGCCCATTATTTAATTGGGTTGTTTGTCTTTTTGTTGTTGAGTTGGAGGAGTTCTTTATGTATTCTAGATATTAAACCCTTATCAGATATATGGTTCCCAAATATTTTCTCACACTCTGTAGATTGTCTACTCACTTTCTTGATAATGCCCTTTGATGCACAAAAGTTTGCAATTTTGATGAAGCCCAACTTTTCAATTTTTTTTTCTTTTGTTGCTTATACGTTTGCTGTCTTATCTAAGAATCCATTGCCAATACAAGGTTCTAAAAATTTATTCCTGTTTTCTTCTAAGAGTTTTGTGTTTTTAGCTTTTACATTTAGGCCTTCGATTTATTTTGAGTTAATTTTTGTAAATGGTGTGAGGCAGGAGTCCAACTTCATTCTTTGCATGTGGAGATCCAGCTGTCCAGCACTACTTACTTAAGAGGCTATTCTTTCCCCATTGAATTTACTTGACACCCTTGTCAAAAATCAATTGGCCATAGATATGGGTTTACCAAATATTTTACCCCCAAAACTCTGGGGAAAAAGTGTGGAATAATATCAGGGATATTAGGTTAGGATATTCTTGTGCCTGGATAGGATGAAATCTGTCTTGTAACAAAGCAAGCCTACATTTCTGAGTGCACATGTCCTGTGAGTTTAGGCACTTCTGAACCAGTGAGACATTCACCCATCTACTGGCCTTCCCAGAAGCAATGTTTGCTCAGTAATTATGCCTTGGAGGGCAGGGGATTACAAAAAGACGTTACCGTTCCCATCAGGCATGCTTCTTCCTTCTAAAATTGCTTTGAGAGCCAAGTATTAAGACTGTGTGCACCAGTCTCTGACCTACTTGGGACGACAGAGAGACACACACAGAAGACCTGGAGCTAAACAAGAAATAGTGTATCATCGTTGCAGAGCTCTGTGGAGCACCCTAAAATGATTAAGAATGTTGGAAGAGGGAGAAACTCTTGAGGATTAGGGTTGGTGCGGTGTTAGTTTGGGAGCATTACCTCTGGGTCCCTGCTCTAGCTTAATCAAACTAGGTTTGTGATGTGATTCCCAAATACTAACTGGTGAACAGGCAGCACCCAAATCATCTGGACATCTTTTTAAAAAATACATACGCACACATGCCTTCCCAGGAGAGTTTGATCTTCAGCAGGCCTGGGGTGGCTCCATACTTTTAAGAATCTTTCATCCCCAGTTGTCATGATGCACGGCAAGTGAACACTGACACACACATACAAACAAATATTTGGGTGTTTGCTTCATATTCTTTCAATGGATTCAAGATGGTGCTAGATCAACAAACTCATGTGGCCCCCAAATTTTGTTTCTAGCTTTCTCTGCCGGATCTGGCGATGAATCTTAAATCCCAAATGAAGTCACTTATTATGTGCCACTGGAGGTATTGATTGGCTGTGACTGAGATGAGGTTCTCAGTAGGATACAGAGCTGGATTCAAACTGTCTTATCTTATGAGACCCCGTATCTATCTCCTACAAGGGCTGGATGTTCCTCTGAAGAATGATATTTTTAAAATTGTAGGTTGGAACCTATTTGTGCATTACCTGGGGTAAAGATAAGTGTGTTTTGTATTACTGTGTTGTGCGTTAGGCTTCTATGTAAAATGTATTTCTTACTGTTATGACAATAAAAGGTTTGTAAGCCCCTGCTGTAGAGAAGCCCTGGTGGTACAATGGTTAAGCACTCAGCCGCTAACTGAAATGTCAGTAGTTCAAACCCACCAGTGGCACTGCGGGAGAAAAGACCTGGCGACCTGCTTCCATAAAGATTACAGCCTAGGAAACCCTATGGGGCAGTTCTACTCTGTCCCATTGGGTTGCTATGAGTTGGAATTGACTCGACGGCACGCAGCAGCCCTAATTTACTTATTGCAGCTCTCACCTGTGCTTACAAAGGACTGAGGGAAGAAGTTATCAGGGAGGCTAATATGCAGTACTTGAGGGAGTCTACTTGGAAACAAATAGAGAAACGATTTGTGGAAGATCACATAGACTGGGAGGTAAATCAATCACAGGCAGTTTTATGGATGGTAGCCGACTCAGCCCACCACGCCTAACACCTGGGGACTGGCTGGGTTTATCTGGAGCTACTCTGACCAAGCTTTAGTTTCCTTTTCCCTACAATGCTCATATACCCACCCTGTGGACTATAACTGTTGTGGGAAAATCCAAAGTAGACAAAACAAGGACTCTATCCAGTAAATGATGAACCACCAAGGCCAAGGCCCAGTAATGGCCTTTAATGGTGCTTTGGTTGTTGATGTTGTTAGCTGCTGTTCAGTTGAGATGTGCTTTTATTGGCATTAGGGAAAGAAGACAGGCGTGCACTCAGATCAAGACTAGGCAACTGTGGGCATCAGAAAGGGTGTGTTTGAGAGCATGGGACTTAAAGAAAGGGGCCTTTCTCCCTCTGGCCTCTTAGCAGGCAGCCGTGGGCTCCTAGATCCTACTCAGGAGCCAAGGCGTCTGATCTCTCACAGTACACTGGTCTACTAGGGGATAGCTGGACAGCCCACAGGATTGGGCACCAGCCCACAGAGCATCTACTTGTGCAGCCCTGGGCGTCACCAACTGGGGAGGGGGCTCCATGGGGTGGAGCAGTGGGGGACCACAGGGTGATGGGCTGTCCCTGGGGCTGCTAATCCTATAGCAGCCCTGCTACTTTGCTCTCCTCAGTGGGAGGGGGTAGGGGTGCTTTAGGAGGGGAACTCAGAGGATAAGAGAAAAGAAAGCCCTAAAGAACATCATTAAAGGGACTGGGATGAAAGACTATAGGGGACAAAAAGCCCCCGCCTCTACTACGAAGTGTGCCACTAATCCTCTTAAGTGGTAGGGAGGTGACGGCCACTTCTGCTGCTCCGTTTCTCAAGCTCTCACGGTATTAAGGAACAGCTTTTCTTTAATCCTGTCAGTGATCTCTGTGCTGGACCTATAACTCCATTTGGCTGTATCAGAAGTTGATGGGAGGGCGAGCCAAATCTCTCCTGCCCCCTTCCCTGTCACCATACCTGTTGCTGTCAATTCGACTCACGGCGACCCCACGTGTGTCAGTGTAGAAATGTGCTCTATAGCACTTTCAGTGGCTGATTTTTTGGAAGTAGATCACCAGGTCTTTCTGCTGAGGCACATCTGGGTGGACTCGAACCTCAACCCAGACCTAAGCCAATCAGTTAACAGATGAGCACATGAACTGTCTGCAGGGACTGGTCCGTGCTTAAGAGTGAGCTTCACAGCCCTTGTGGCTTTGGAATGGGGCAAAGCCTTAGTCCCTCTCTAGCTGGATTTTGCCTGAGTCAGAGGTTCTCAACATTTAGAGTGCATAAGCCTCACCTGGGCAGCTTGTTAAAAACTTTTTTTTCCTTGGTCCCACTTGCAGCAATTCCAATTCAGCAGGCTTGAGGTGGAACCCAGGAATCTGAATTTTAAGAAGCACCTCCCCCAACCAAACATACCCATATGCAAACATCCTGAAGTGCTGATGCAGGTGGACCACACTTTGAGAGTCAGGGGGGCAAAGTGACCAGGGAGAGGAGCATTTCTACTCACCAGCACTGAACCTCCCCCCTCTGTCCTCCCAGCTGACCACAGAGTAACCCTGGGACTCCTGCTCCACTCAAACCAAACCCATTGCCATCAAGTCCGTTCTGACTCTTGGCAACTCCACGTGTTACAGAGTAGAACTGTTCCATAGGGTTTTCTTGGTTGTAGTCTTTACAGAAACAGATTGCCAGGCCTTTCTTCTGTGGCACTGCTGGGTAGGTTCAAACCACCATCCAGGGTGGTATGCCACCCAGGGGCCTCTTGCTCCACCCAGTAGCTCTCTGTTAGGGCCAGGGCTGGGCCTGGAGTTGACAGTTTTCACAAAGAGGCCTGGGTCATCTGCTCTGTGGAGCCCTGAGGCTGGCCACACAGGAGATAAGGGCTAATCCCACTTTACCACACACTTCAGGTGCCTTTTCTGGTTTGGAAAAAAAGAAGAAAACAAAACAAACAAACAAAATGAAGAGTTAGCTGTGTGGAAAACCCAAGGACTGGAGCTGCCCAGGGCTGCATTTCCGGGGAAGACCTTGGGCCTTTGCCAGGGACCCGCTGGGTAAATGGAGCTCTGCTTCCCAGGCCACAGATACCCTGACCCTTTCCCAACTGCAGCATCAAGTTCCCCCACGGCCCCAACCCCCCTTGAGCTTTTTGGATTTCTTCTTCACTTCAGTTTTCTCATGGTCACCCACACATGGCATGAGGTTGAACAAAGACATTTATTTGCAAAACCAATTCCCCATGGAGGCGAGACTGTATCCGTAGAAGGTAAACCAGCAATCGTTCAGAGGGCCACATGCAGACATGAGTGAAACCAAGGAAAAACCACACACAGCGCGGCTGCAGACAGCCAGGAGCTGCCGATCCAGTCAACAGAAAAGTCCAATGTCCTTTCCGCTTGGGAGCACGGACACACCAAGATGTCCTGTGAGAAGGCAATTTGGCCTGACATCCAAGATGAAATGATCAGGAACAATCAAGGGAGCCTTCTTTCTATTCTGCACAGCTTGCGTGCTTCCCACAGACACCTGGCTAAAAGTGTATGCGGTCCTCTGCCTTCCAGCAGGAGTGAGGCAGCCTCGAACCCGGGGCTTTCTCACATGCCCATCCTGATGCTCTGGATGATCTGAAAGATAGCTGAAATGGGAAAGCCAAACAGACAGCTCAGACACCAGACAGCACACAGCTGGAAACCCAATCCCATAGAATCCCCGGCTCCCTGACCCCTGGGCATGTTAGCGCACAGCTGATTAGACATTTCCTAACTAGGAGTTAACAAGAGGTCAGTGAACTTCCTTAAAAAGCCAGGCTTGCTCTGTTGGCTGATGGATGCCTCAGGGATTTATCCAGATAACTCCTGCTAATTCCACCAGGAGTGAAGGCCAGAAACCCATTGGGCGCTGAGTGGAGATTTGGCCCCCTTCCCTTAAATGTTCTGCCCCTGCTGGGGAGAGGGATATGGGGCTTCTGGGCGGCGCTGCAGTTTATTTAACAGCTCAGTGAGTCTGCCTTTTCAAAACGGCCGTGACCTGTACAACACCTGCCTCTGTGCTGGTGAGGGGGGCCAGGTGTGAGCAGACCCACCAGGCAGAGTCTCTGGCTGCAGGGAACCCTTGACGCAAGAGTATGTGCTGGCTGCCTGTCCCGGTTTCCATGGGGTCAACTCTTGATTCATGATGACCCCACGTGTGTCAGAATAGAACTGTGCTCCACAGGGTTTTCAATGGCTCATTTTTCAGAAGTAGATAGCCAGGCCTTTCTTCTAAGGCACTTCTGGGTGGACTCGAACCTCAAACCTTTTGGTTAACAGCACGTTAACCATTTAAATGCCCAGGGACTCCCTGGCTGCCTGTAACCCTCTGAAATGTCACCTCTCAACAAGTGCAACACCGATCTGTTCAGGGCCTAATCTTCACTAGACGGGCCTTCTTCCTGATACGCCAAGGACGTGGGTAGCCTGTAAGCCCGCCGAGAACTGCTGACACTCCCACTCCTCCCCGCTCCTTGCGTATTTTGGTAAGAGCTCGTTAGACAGCTCCCAGCCTGGCGCCATCTATCAGGTTTCAAATGTGTTCCAGGAGACGAAGATCTCCGCTTCTTGTTCCATCCTCCCAGCTGGCAATAATGATCAATTTTGATGATGACAATGATGGCGATAATGATAAGAGCAACTACCATGGCTTTAACGATTTGTTTGTTTGTTTTTTTGAGGGGAGGCTGGCATCATTGTATTTAATCATGTGCAGAAGCAAAATAAACACTAGGCTCTCAGAGGTCATCTCCCTCCTCTCCTTCATAAAGTCAGCCTGGAATCTGTCCAGGACTGCAGCTTCCTAAGAGACCACAGAAAAGCAGGGCTAGGCAGAACTCTCAGGACACAAGTCCTTCCGTGTTTCCTTATCTAACGTTAATGAGCACGTACTATGTGCTGGGCCCTGTGTTTCAGGGACACAAAGATAAAAAGAACAGAGGGCCTGGGGGATCCTTCTCGAATGGCTGGATTTTAAGGGTAGATAAAGCACCAATGCATTTTCTTTTCTTTTCACATCATCACTATCTTTCTAAATTGGATATACCAAACATAATTTTACACTAACTGTTCGTGACTGTTCAGCATTACCATAATGAAAAACAATTAATAAGGCTCTGCTGTAATATTGCTATTGAGGTTGCAGAGTGTTGTCTGATCTGTCATCAAAATAGCTCTGGTCTGCTGTACTTCTCCACTACCTGTCCGTCAGTTTGTCATACTGTGGTAGCTTGTATGTTGCTGTGATGCTGGAAGCTATGCCCGCGGTATTTCAAATACCAGCAGAGTCACCCAGGGTGGACAGGTTTCAACCAAGCTTCCAGACTAAGACTAGGAAGAAAGGCCTGGTGACCCTATAGCTCATACTAGAATATTTTCTGATATAGTGCTGGGCCAGCCAACGTTTGGTTCTGTTGGTCGTTGCCATGAGTCTGAGCCGATTTAGCAGCAACTAACAACAAAGCTGTGCTTCTTGGCTCTCATGTCTGGTTCTTACCATTTTTTTGTTTTTCTTATTCTTGTCCCTGGTCACATGTCCCGTGTTACTGCATCAGTCTGCAGTGGGCCCTCCTTTCATGTATTATTACGCTGCTGTAGACTAAGAAACCTAAAAACAAAGACTTAGAATTCTGTGCAAAATCAAACTGGTTCCCTGTGGGGGTCTGCAGGACTCTTCTCTAGATAAAGAAGCTAGTCAACAACTTGTGATTTCTAATTCTGGCAGCTCTTGGAGGTCTTCTTGGCTTATTCTGGGTTCTTGGGTGGGTCTTGACCGGGGAAGTTGTTAGACGGATGAGAGATTGGCATACCAAAATCTATAAACCCACAGAAATATCTGACCTTTCTGTGCTCCCTACCAAGGCTGACAAGGAGTAAAAATTAAATAAACATTCTTTCCTCCGGCTCAAGAGAAATGGAAGGCAGTTGTATATTCAACAACATTAGACAAAAAAATTTACATCTCCCATGCCTCAGGCTTTGTTTTTGGCATCAGGGAAACATCTCTAATTCTGACAAACAAGTTTACTTTAGAGAGGAATGTTAGAGTCAGATGGAACTGGGTTCGGATCCCCGTTCTTCACTTAACAGCTGTGTGACGAGGCAAGTGACTTAACCTCATCGAGCCTGTTCCCTCCTCTGTACTATGAGGATCATGGTACTCACAGGGTTGTCACAGGGATTAAACGATGTAATATGTATGAAGGTTCCTCACACCCTGAAGAGTCAATAGGTGGCAGCTACTGCTATTATTACTATTACCGCAACAACTACAGCTTCTTCTCCATGGATAAGACAGTAGACCAGAGGCTAAGTGCCAACTCTGTCACCCTCTAAAGATATTAACCTTGAGGAATTAATAAACAGTTCTGAGCCTTGATTTCTTTCTTTGCAAAACTATAGATAATATGTACCTCAAAGAACTGCAAGGAGTAAATACAATGACATAAATAAAAGGTCTACCTGTAACAGATGCTCAAAAATGTTATTTCTCCCTTACTCTTGTCCTTAGACAAGAAATTATTATCAGTGTGATGCAGGTCAACAAATAAGAGAGCAGTCTGTTTCTTAGTCCATCATACGCCACTAAGTTAATTCATGACTTAAAAAGTTCTAGGTAATGAGAACATCACTCAGTACTTTTTGAGTAACTGCTGCAAATTTCTCTAAAGAATCTTGGACAAAAGATCACATGTCTCAGAGGAATGATACTTCCATTACAACAACTGACCTGTTTCTTTGGGTCTGCTTTAAAAACAATTCAAGATGATTTCAGATCCTAATTGAATCTGTGAGTGAACATGTAAAAATCCTCTGGTCCCTAACACGTTTACAGGTGACCCTTTAAAACTGAATGCTCCTGGAGAAATCACTTTGAATAAAGTCTATTTTAAGCTCACCATTTGCCTCCACATCTAAGTGAACGGTGAGACGGATGTGCTTAATTATCCCCGCTTCAGGTGTATCAATGTCTTTAAAAAGCCTTCAACCTTTTATACCAGTTATGTTCACGGACCTTCTGCGTGCCTGCCAGAGCAGACCTACGGAGTAACCCTGGCCTTCCAAACGCTGACTTTTCCGAGGCAATGAACAGGAAGGGAGCCAAGAGGCAGTTCAAAGAGGGAAAGGAAGTGGGGAGTCTAGACCCTGACAAGTTAATAACTTAACAGTGGGTGAACAAAGCTGAGAAAACAGTTGAGCAGGCTGCAGGAAAGGGGCTGCGTGCAGACGAGACAGCAGGGAGGAGAGAGGCCAAGAAGGAGGGCTGGCAGGCATTCCAGGTCAGGGAATTTGGCCCTGGGCAGTCACAGAAGTTCAGAAAAATCTCGGCTGGAGCGGGCACCACCAGAGCCAACGAGCATCTGCACTTTCCAACTAAGTTTACGATCCTGGCCGTGGGCAACCTCTCCTGACCACCTCTCTCTTTTGTTCAACCTCCCCCATCAATGAAATCCTTAGGCTTTTACATGCTAAAATTGCTTCCCCTCAAAAATCAAACAAGCCAAAACAATACTTCTGACTCCACATCTCCCAGCAACTAGTGTGCTCTCTTCCTCTTCACAGTCAACCATTCCCAAAGAGCCGTCCATGCATACTGTTTCCATTGTCTTATCTTCTATTCCCTCCTCAACCCACTTCATTCTAGCTTCTGCCCTCTTTACTGAAATATCTCTTGCTAAGTCACAAACAGAGGCATTGGTGGATCAGTGGTAGAACTCTCACCTTCCATGAAGGAGACTTAGGTTCAATCCCCAGCCAACGTACCTCATGCATAGCCGCCAGCCGACTGTCAGCGGTGACTTGTGTGTTGCTATGATGCTGAACAGATTTCGGGGGAGCTGCCAGACTAAGACAGACTAGAAAGAAAGGCCTGGCGATCTGCTTCTGAAAATCAACCAGTGAAGACTCTATGGATCACAACAGTCTGGTCCAAAAGCGATCATGGGGATGGCGCAGGACAGGGCAGCATTTTGTTCCTTTGTCATGGGGTGGCCATGAGTCAGGGACTGACCCAGCTGCAACTAACAACAACAAAAAAGTCACTAATGACGTTCTATCTTTCAATCCAACAGGTGTTCTTCAGCCTCCTCTTCTCACCACTCGCTCCTGAAAACTCTCTTCCCGTGGCTTCTGTGACACCATATTCTCCCTCTCTTTGGCCCTTCTCATGAGATCTTCCTCCTCCACCCCACCATTAAACACTGAAGTTTCTCAGTGAGCACTTCTGAGCTTTCTTCCCTTCATTATATTACTTCTCCCTAGAGGATCTCATCAAGGCCCACAGCTTTCATCACCACTTACGTTAATGACTCACAAATGGGCATCTCCACCCAGACCTCTCCTCTGAAGCGCCAGACTCACATTTTACCATCTCATCGATATCTCCATTTGGATGGCTCAAACTCAGTAGGACCTTCTTAACATCTCTTCTCACTGCCAGACTTGGCATTACTACCCTCCATTTTGCTGTGCAAGCCAAAAACACTGAAAAACTGAAAAAAAAAAAAAAACAAAAACAAAACACTTGACATCTCTAGTCAATGACAAAGACCTGTGGATTTTACCTTAGGATCTTTTGATTATGCACCCTTCTCTCCCATCGCCCCAG